GCCATATTAGGATCATACAAGGGCTAATGAGGTTTATATGGTTCATATAAATGGATGGTCTTAATCCCGTTGAAATCCTCAAGGGTCGCAAGGTTCAAGAATCACAAGCATTGGGTTCATAAAAGGTTCTCAAGGGCCTCAAAATGAATGGTCACAAGGGTTATAGTGACGTCATTCAAGGGCTTATGGGGTTTATATGGTTCACATAAATAGATGGTCTTAATCCCTTTGAAATCCTCAAGAGCCGCAAGGGCCAAGGATTATATCGGGTTCATACAAGGGTTTATGAAGGATTCACAAGGATTATATCGGGGTCATACAAGGGCTTATGGAGGTTATATGGGTCATGTGAAGTCTTTGAAATCCGCAAGGGTCTCAAGGGCCTCGAAAATGAAAGGTCACAAGGGTTATATCAGGATTATACAAGGGCTTATGAGGTTAATATGGTTCACATAAATAGATGAATAGATCTGAATCCCTTTGAAATCCTCAAGGGTCGCCAGGGCCAAGGTTCACAAGGATTATATCGGGTTCATACAAGGGCTTATCAAGGTTATACGAGTCATGTGAAGTCTTTGAAATCCGCAAGGGTCTCAAGGGCTTCGAAGAACAAAGGTCACAAGGGTTACATCCGAGGCATAAAAGGGCTTATGAGGGCTATATGGTTCCTATAGACACACACTCTTAACTCCTTTGAAATCGCCAAGGGTCGTACGGATCAAGGGTCACATTCACCATTCTTTAACGTATTCAAAAGCAAAAAACAATAATTAATAGTCTCCACATTTTATACGAATCAACCTTCGATCAGCATCTCATCAATAAAATTATCGATTAACAAGATGAAGTCATTAAGACATGATTAATGACCAAGCCAAGCGCTCTCTTCTTATCGTCTCACGTACAGGAAGAGAATTCCGCGGGAAAGTGACTTCACGATACGAGACTCATTGATGTGGAAAAATAGTACGGAAGCATCAACAAATGCGTGATAAGGGATGGGAACAGCTACGAATATTCATCGATACCGAGAAGGTCGTGGAAGATTGAGGGCCTGAATGAAAGCGGTTAGATAGAAAAGTGACGGGAATAAATGGACTCGAGGGTATCCCAACAGTGGAAATGAACATACAGCCGTTTGCTGCTGACGAGTTTCGTTAATTATTCAGACTCGATGCATTTGAATATCAACGAATGGGCATTTTTTAATACTTCAATGAATAATAATAATTTTAACTTCCAATGACTTCGCGAATTTCAGGCAATTCGTTATGCGCGGAAACTTGTAATTAAGTGTATTTCACAATTTTTCAATTCATAATTTTAGTCGGAAGAATTAGTTGTGTGATCCATGAGGCTGATGAATTCAAACTACCCCAGGGGTGGAAATATTTTCTAACCCTCCATCTGTGGGATGCTCTACGAAATACTGACACTGCCTTCTCATGGCCGGTAAGAGTGGGGCTTGGCGTTATCGATGGGCGGTGGTAGGATGGTAACAGAGCCAGATAAATCGTTTCACATTTTGGGGGCAATCAATATAATGTGTTGGCGAGGAAGTGAGTTATCCTCTGACCACAAAGAGACCGACTACGACGTTTGAGGCGGTAAACTCAATGAATTTTTTACAAATGCGGCCCGTGAACCTGCACGGAAAAATTTTTATTTTGAAAAATATATAAAAAAATATCGTGATTTGGCCGAATTTACATTAAAAAATATATAAAATATATGGTTTATATGTATTTTTTATATGTTCTGGATAAATGTGGAAAATATGTGGAATTGGCCCGTATTATATATATTTTTTATATATTTTTTGATGGCGGAACCGAAGATATATTATTTCTTACAATTTTGAGCTCCGATAACACGAGGAATATTCTCGTTACAATTGCCTCATTCATAAATGTATCAGTCTCGGATTTTTATTAATTAATTCATCAGTTGATTAATCTAAAAAAAATATTCTTCTACATTTTTTACTGGGGAATATTGAAGATATCCCTTTTGGAGATATTACGAATTATAATACTTGGGTTTTGTGTTTTTATTTTAGAAACTAATTGTAAAAGAATATATGGAGTGTATCCCAAATTAAAAGTCACAGTCAAATATCAAGAGATACTCTGGACAAAAGGTTCATTATTTACGGCAATTTTGATGCTGATTTTGAAATCGTCACACGGACCTCAATTTTTCGCCCCTACTACACTGAGAGAAAAACGAACACGTTGTCAAAAAAGTCGTGTTTGGGCCAACAAAATCGCTAGTTGAAAATTGCCAAAAAAGAATTTGTTTGGTTCGAATTTGAAAGTCTCAAACATGAATAATTGTTCTGCTTTCGACAGCAAGAAATATTTGGCTCAAGAGGCGGATAAGCCACACCAGACGGTGCCTTTTCAGGATGAAAATGTCTCATATAAAGAAAAATTTATCAACAAATATTTTATCCCTAAGTTTCAAGATTGCTATCATATCATTATTATTGAGAATGCAATTTTTTTTGATCTACGAAATCCATTTTCGCGACAAAAATTCGTCATTCCGGCGCACTCTCTGCACGTTTGGCACAAAAAAATCCTTTTTTAATAATTTTCAAAAAAATATTTTCTTGGCCCAAGTAAGACTTGTCGTTTTTCCCTCAGTGTAATGTAGCAATCATATTCGCGACCCTCATATATTTCTCAGAGGGTCACCCCCGCGACCCGTCTCAGGACGCCGCGAATATCAAGAGCAACAAAAGTCCCGAGCAGTTGAAACCTCATGAAATGTCAAATGAATGCCAGATAACTGTCTCCGCACAATGGGAATGAGGTCGCGGCAGACGCTTGAGGGTGGAAGCGCGGCGGGACCATCGGGTTGCCCGCAGCTCATCGCGGAGCGATCACATCTCATCGCGTCCCGCCATCGCTAGGAGTATTACGAGATCCTCCCCCTCCCCCCCCTCCCTCCTCATCGCGGTCGCGGGGGTCCTGTCGTGCACAACCCCATCGCGATTTCTACCAACGGGTCTCTGCGCACAGGGATATCACCGTGCTCTATCAGCATATCCGACCGCTTAGCACCTACTTCCCAGGAGTGTGATACGCTCGTAACTCATTTGAATTACACATTTCCCTCGGATCCACACGGAACCAGTGTAGGTACAACCGAGCGACAGAGGAATCGTTTCTGCCATTCTGTCAGCACTCCCGCGCGGGAAACCCCTTGTGAATTGTCATCTCTCTGGTATTCCCCCCCCCCCGCGCCGCGGTTGAAAATCCGTTCGACGCCAGTCACGTCATGGTCCCTGAAATATTTCGAACTCTCGTGAATTATGCATTGGACATTACGAATCGCGAATCATGAGTGAGAGGAGCACTCGCAAGATAGCGTTCGCGGGGGAAAGGGTTAACTACTTCGGGGCATGCGGCGAGATATTCGACGTGGGGATGTGGAACGTGCGAAAATCTGAGGTGAAATTTTTCGGGGAAAATTAGTCGGGGGATTTTCGCGGTTCGGTTGAGGTGCACGGAGAGAGGTTCAATAAAAATTACCAGAAGAAAAAACGTAAAAATTACGTTGCGAAAGGTAATCCGCGAACGAATTCCCCGTTGCGGATTACGTGAGGCGTTCCGTAATTTTTACTGAATACTCCTCTCCGTGTGCATGTCCCAGTATCTGACTGTTTAGTACACGGAGAGAAATTATTTAGAAGAATTCTAGTGCTAGTAAAATTCCTAAGGACTTCTGTGAAAATTATTTCCCAGTACTTTCTTAGTACTTTCGTAACCAAAAACGATTATTTTCTGTCCAGTAAAGGTAACTACACCTTCAGAATGTCCCATCTACGAGAAACATCACCAGAATTGTCTTCTGAAGTTGTAAAACGTTCGGAACCCTTCAATCCCGCCGAAAAAACCAAATCTTGATCGGTTAACAGTTGAAAAGTTCTCTGTTGTACCGACTGAGCACTTGGGAAGAAAGATTTACGCATTAAATGTGTGAAAAGTGGTTTCCAGAAGCACTTGCTTCTGTTCACTCGGGCTGTACGACTCCCTGGCGCCTCGCTCCGCTAATCGCAACCCATTAAGAGTCCCTTCTTCTTACCCTGCCACTTGGATTTCACCGTACTACCCACTTGAATTTCTCCTCACTTCTCCAGTGCTCTCATTGGCTGTTGCATGTGAGCATCAGCCAGTTAAACGGGTTCTGGAGTTGAATTTTCTCGCTGTAATCTTACCCTGGATGCTTGCAAAGTTTTGGGTACGTGGGGAAACTTTGATGAAACTTTTGAACATCGGGGAATGGTGAAGTTTGATGCTTTTACGAGAATTCTTGGAGTTTGGATGTATTCAATTTCTGATGAGAATTGATGCTCGGAGGTGAAGGTTTTCGGTATGAGTGATTTTATTTGTAATTAGTTGTGACTCTTCCAAAGAAACTCTGGATTATTCAGATCTGAAACCCACAAAATTTTTCGATTCCGTCGGGAAAATCGATGCCCATTAAAAAAAAAATGTGGCGATTAAGGTGTTTCATGCGAAAAAGATAAATAATGACATTCATCTGGAATTCATGTAGAATGTTTATAATTACAACTGAATTGTCTGTGAATTTTCCTAAATTTTTTTCAGATTTCCTTTTCAAGTTATTAACGATTGAAGTCGTTTCTTATATATGGACTCTTATGGAGATTTTCCTGTTTAGCATGAAACTATATTATCAACTCAGATGGTAAAGTAGTTTTGAGCTAAAGAGAAAGAAGCGACTTCAATCCTTAATAACTTGAAAAGGAAATCTGAAAAATTCGAGGAAAATTCGTCGATTATTTAATGGCGATTGCAAACATTCGATATGAATACTACAAAGACTCTGTTCATTTAAAAATATGCAAAAGGTGGACTCTATGGATAGCTTGATGTTTGTCTCCAGCATAACGATGCAGAATATTCGAGACGCGTTATATGAATTTCGGAATAATAATTGATTGTAGCTCGCGCCACAAAAAAAATCCATTTCACATTTTTCATTTGTTTATTTCCCCAAACTAAATACATACATTGATCTTTGCATAAACTCATCAACATATCCATTCTCCTAATACCGAAAAAAACTCCTATCGGAGAATCATATGACATATAACTTCACATTGATGACTTGAAGATTTGGATCAGCTTCAAGGACGGTCCTGGTGAGCACTGCCTGCCCAGAGCCCGCATTCGGGTTTCTAGCTGGTGCTTAAGTAGAAGCCCTAGTCATTGCCGCGGGGGCCGGGGTCTCCTCTTTGACCGGCTGCCCACCACGAAGAACTGCATTGAGAGCCTTGAGGATCGGGAACTTCTCGCCGCAAGCACCGTTCTTGTCGTCAGTCTCTAGACTCCAGATCATGGCGCCCCCGAGTCTCAATTGCTTGATGTAGTTGGCTTTTTCCGTCACGGATCTGTGCAGGTGAAGGGCAAAATGAATGTTGGACTTGAAAATGTTTTCTAAAGTCATGAATTTGATCGACGAAACCATCACTCACTTGACATTATCATAGCTGACCCACTGGTTCCCCTTGAAGGCATATGGAGCTTGTGCCTTCTCGTCGAAACGAACTGTCCACTGACCTTCCCGAATCTGTTCGCAAAGTTCGTTGTAACCGAACGATCCTGATTCTCGCACGTAAGGTCCGGGTTGACCAGCGGAAGGTGCTGGAGCGCCAGGAGCATTGTTATTCGGATCCGCCAGGGTCCAGGTTTTTCCGTAAGTTGGAACACCAACGACTAGCTTCTCCTTGGGACAGCCTTGATCCAGCCAGTACTTGACACATGATTCCTAGGATCAAAAGACGACAGACGAAAGATGAAGCTGGTCAGACTTCTGTCGGTTATTCAGAATCTTCACTACTTACGACTGACAGGTCTCCGCGAAGACCGGCATGATGACCGGTCTTAGGTTCCCATGAGCCATGGAAGTCATAAGTCATCAGATTGATGAAGTCCAGATGCTGACTTATCGCCGGAATGTCGTAGGCCTGTGATGCCGTCCACGTCCCCGCGGCAACAGCTGCTGTCAGCAGAAGACCACCTTCCTTATTGAAGCGTTCCTTCAACTCCTTCAGGAGCAGGACAAAGTTGTTGCGATCAGCAGGGACTCCACCATTGCGAGTCGGGTACTCCCAGTCAACGTCGAAACCGTCGAATTTGTACTGCTTCAGAAGGGCTACAGCGCTGTCTATAAACTGTCTGCGGGATTCCGCAGAGGACACCATGTTCGAGTATTTGGATCCGTGACTGTCTACAGCCCCTCCGATAGCGATGAGAAGCTTGGCTGTGGGATTCTTCGCACGCAGCTGTGTGAACTCCTGGAGTCCGTTGACTCCATCACCATTCGATGACACCACCTGATTTCCTTGGAGAGTAACGAAGGTCCAGATGAAGTGCGTGCAGAGGGAGGCGTCTATGTCCGCTGTGACGAATTTGCCATTTCCCGGTCGCCAATTCGCCCAACTACCGAAGTAGCAGACGATTCTGTCTAATTATGGGAAAATTTGGTAGATGAGTTGTTTTCTTTTTAATCCTAGCCCGGTGGCTTGGCGCAGTGGGTAAGTTCGTTGCCTCACGAGCGAAAGTTTCCGAGTTCAAAACCCGGCCGGGTAGAATGGTGAGATCTAACCATTTAAAGTCTTGATCATCATCGCAGCATACCCTAACCGGGTCGAAGTGATGTAAAATCTATCGTTGGATTATTTACATAACTTCATTCGAGTATTATTTAAATATGAACTATGGTTGTACTGTCATCTTATATTTAGTTGCTATGAACATATTTTGATGAGGCAGTTCATCAGAAAAGATGAGAATGAAAGCACTTACTTTCGGCGGTGACTGTTAGGGCAGCAGCCAAACAACTGACGAGGAGAAAAGTCAGAGAACGCATCTAGAATTAAGGTCATGGGTCAAACTTTGTGACGATAAATTATCTTCCTCAATATGTTTCAAATGTTTCTTATTCCAATCGATCCAATTCGTTGAAGAATTCAAGTATCGTATAGAAATTTTTGGAACCTACCGTGATTTTAGTTTTGATGACTGGAACCACCTGCAGTGTACTATTGATGATTCTTCACTGTTTAACGTTCAGTCGCTCGCACGTCTGCTTTTATAGTGCATAACCGCACGCCTTAATTACCTAACGCATTCATTGAAACACTTGTTACCGATAACAGATGATGCGTTGTGCGAAACGTGAGAGACAATTGATTGATGTTTCACTTGTTAAGAAACACATTCTTTGTTTATCCATTCTCTAGAAATTGTAACTGTGTCAGGGTGTTTCTGGCATGACCCAAATGAGTGAATTACCTCGCAGGTAATTAGCTCGATAATTGCCTCGGCACGAGTCAATCATGTTTGGCGATAAGACAAGGAAAGACAAGGAAAGGACGGCATTCAGAGCCCTCAGAATTGGAAATTTCGCACCGCAAGCGCCCGCCACATCATCTGACATTAAATGCGCAGGCGACATTCAGCGTCATGACGACATTGAAATCTTGAGACGACATTAAATGCCGAAGTGACATTCCCCGTTGCAATAACATTACAATCTCGATACGACATTAAATGGCGAGACAACATTGAGTGATCACGACATTAAAATCGTTAGACAGCATTAAATGCCGAAGCGGCATGGAATATCGCAATACTCGTAATCCTCCTCCTGAAGTTGAAAATTTCTTAAATTGAACTCTTTCACCTCCCGCGGTATTTATACGCACCCGGGCAACGAATTAAATTGATGCGAATCACAAATCATTACTTTTGAAAGCCGAAATTAATCTTTTGTCCGGAGCATCTCTAAGCACCGAAGTTTATTCAATTGTTATCGGACGTCAGGCTTTGTAAACTTACATCTGGTCAAAAGCGATATGTGAAACTATCTTTTTGACTATTATGTGACTGTCCTGCAGGTGTTCACGCGTAATCTATGATGATATCGGATATAATTTCCCGGATCTTTTTGTACTGAAGAGCATAAACTGGATGAATTAGTCACTCTCCTCAACAAAGAACAATAATTCAGACGCATGATAACATATTTTGACTCGTTATCATCACAGACCTAGGGGTTCCCATCAACACAACAGGAACAACTAATTATTTCGGGGTGATGAACATCCATATCTTTTGTCTAGAAGGGAGAACTACTCGCTGTAGATGACAACCCTGATAGCCTAATCAGGCGACAAGATATCATTGTCGCCCTCGAGAACGTCTTCAACAGGCTTCATTCGACTTGATGATTATTATGGCTTAAGATTATGCTGAAAAAAAAATTAAATTCCAAGACGACATTGACCGCCGAGACGACATTGATCGTCAAGACGACATTAAATCCTCAAACGCCAGATTGTCAGTAACCCTTTAGCCTTTATTTTCCATCCCTAAGACCCTAGTTTTACGATTTTGCAACATAAAAATATTAATAATGATTGTTGTAATTCCATTTCTATCGAATGTTGCACTAAAAATGAGATTTCCATTTTCAAACAAAAAAGCCTCCAATAAATTTTTATAGAAGCATACATCCGCAGGAGTACCATACGATACCGCGGCCTCCCGCTGATCCTCATAACGTAATGATGTTATGACGTGACATGAGGTTACGAATAACACCGTAGCGTGAATCCTCGATGAGGAACGGAGTAGATCTCCCCCTGTAGGAACGAAGGTGTGAGTGAGCAAGAGAGAGAAAGAGACAGAGAGATAGCGCAAAGTGGAAGCAAGAGTCCCCGGTAAAGGGGAATGTATCAAGTCCGAGTTAGAGTACCTCTGGGTTTGGGCCTCGTCGCTTATTATTTGTAACCCCGGTGTTCCAACAGCATCCATTTAATCTTTTCCCAGTGAGGAGCGTTTCTTTGATCAGCGCGCGACCGCATCTGCCACGCAATATCTCAGGCCACAGCCGCAACCGGCGTACCGGGGCGCGAGCTCCCCGTCTTCCTCGCACTGGGGCATTTGTTTCTGTCAACCGGCCACCTCTCGTGCACCACCGGTGCGTGCCCCAACGTTAACCAGGAGAACTCTTCTTACAACATCGGATACCAAGGTATTTTAGGATTTTTTTTCATCTTCTACTTTCCTATGCGATGCAAGTCACGAGAGGAATCTCCGCTTTGAGAGAAGATGTTTATTACCTGGGGAGCCGGTGCCGGAAAATTTTGATCGTGATGAGGAAATTGGAGAAGTGTGGATTCAATATTTATAATGTGATGATGTAAAAAATATTTGCATCAGCGGAATTCTAGAAATTGACGTTCTAAATGTCGAAATGACGGTTTATGTTCGGACGACATTAATTGCCGACACGACATTGGACGCGGAGGCATGATTAGTTGTTAAGACGACATTAAATATCGAAACGACATTAAAGGCTGAGACGACATTAACCGCCAAAGCAACATTGAACGTTAACATGATATTAAATACCAAAACGCTATGGAATCGCAATGACATTGGATGTTGTGACGACATCGTGCGTCAAGACATTCTACGTCAAGCCGACATAATTTCCGTTCATAAACTCCTCATCATTTTGATAATTTTCTAACATTTTTCATCACGACAGAAGCTCTCGCATACACTCATCGTCACTATGTCGCCTCGACATTAAACCGACTCTATGTTTCTCCCCGCGGCATGATAGATTCACGTTTTAATTTATTTCGTAGAGATAATAAATACCTCACGAACTCAAATATTCGTGCACATAAAGGTATAGCTCCTGTTGGTGGCACACAGCGTGAATTTCATGATATCACTCGGGTGATGGAGAGAAGCACCAAGAGAGAGTGCCACGCACCAACGGTAATATGTAACACGCAGTTTGGAGTAATGCCGCGTCAAAGCCAGCGCCACCGAAAATATGAGACCGGCTGCTGGGCGACCCGCTAATGCTCCCTCATTTATTACCCTTACGTATTATTCCCGGATTATTATTAGTTAACTCGATGTTTTTCATTCAATTATCAATTCGAAATGAATGAGAATGAATGAAACTGCTCACCAGTGGCAGTCGGCTACTTGAAGAATAAAAATTCGGGAAAAAATGAGGTGAAATTCAAGTAAACTTTTGAGAGAGATTCGATAGAGATACTAGTGTCCAGGGGGACTGTAAATATTTCAGCGCCGATAACAAACAATAACGTTCAACTGATACGAGAACTTTGAGGGGTGGGGAGCCCGCTCGATGTTTGTCTCGGGTGAGAGAAAAGGAATTCGATTGACGAGGGTCTCCACGAACCCTGACTTTCTAAAATAGAAATCAGGGGAATTCAGTGCAACCGTAGAATACGAAACACCCCATTTCACGTCATCCGGTGGAGCCCTGTGTTTTCTCAAGACAAAAGAAAAAGAAAATGAGAAAAAAAAACTCTTCAAGAATAAAAAATAAATATTTTAAAAGGTCGGACCCTCGCGATCCTCAATTTCCGATGAATCCAACTTAAATTTAAAAATATGAAATTTGAGAGAGAAAAATTTTGAATAATTCTTTTTTCGAATGCAAAAAATATTTCTTCACCTGCGGAAGAGTATTCTCCGCGCGAAAGTTGCATCATTGATTCGCATGATTGCGAATTTGAAAAATCGGAACTTGAGGAATAGTGACGGAAATGAGATAGGAGAGGAGAACAAAGAGAGGAGAGAATGAAAAAAGAAGTAGAAACGGGAGGCTTAGGTAGCTACTCACTCGATCTCGGGTTGGAAACGAGGAGCCGCCCTGTGTGTTTGTGCTCTCGCCAGGGAGCACAGAGAGAAATGGCAAGGTATTTATCAGTGCCTCTCCCTGCCACCCCTTTTGCCCCCTCTGTGCTCTTCTATCCCCCTCGGTTGCTCCGCTGTTCCACATCCAAATCCATTCGCCTACCC